GACTTGCCACGGTCTCCAACCCTCCTCCTTTCTCATCCGGGCTTGGGACCGGCCATGGCGGAGTTAATGTGTGAATGGTGAATTACTTAATTTCCAACTTATACATTACCTTCGATGCTGGTAGGAAAGAGCGAATAGGAGCTGGGTTGATCGTATTTGACTTCAGATCTGGATGTCAGAGACTGCTGACTTCGATAAGGTGCTACGAACCTAAATCAATATTCAGCATTTTCGCTATCATCTCCAGCGATCAGAATAACACCATGTAGTGTATATATAAGAAAAGAGCCAATTAAAATGAACATCACTGGACGACGACGTCTGCATGCCAGCATTAAAGACGAACATTAGCTGAAATTTTAATTATTTAACCGTAAGCAATGTTCAAGGATAAATTGTTTTCCTATAAGAATCAGAAACCGAGGAGTTGTATATTCAATGCTTCTGGCAAGTCATCACTAACTTTGTGCTGGTTAAATGAAAAGGGGACGAAGAAGTTTGAGGTTTGGAATCTGACAAAAGGAGCTAAGAGCTTTTACATGACACCCTACGGCAAGTAATATTCCGCCCTGCAACTGTGAGTCACCTTTACCGCACCATAATGTGGGAGTTAGTGCTAAATGTTGATAAATGACATGGGGGGGGGTCGACTATGACAGGTCACAGCGCCTCATCTCCGGTTAGAGAATGGCTGAACTTGACAGCGTTGCATACGGACACTTGTGATTGAAAGATGCATGGGGATTGGACATATAGATGGACAAACGATATCAAAGGACCGGTCCTGTGCTGTGAACATGTAGACTGAAACCGTTTTAGGTACGTTACTCTGTTAGTAAGGTACAGTATTCAGAATAGCGCTTTATCATATCAAAATTACTGTAAATTTTAGAGCGGCATAAGGAGTCAATCGCCCTTTCCAGTTTTGTCGTAAACAATAATACAATTATTGTTTACGTGATCATCTGAGATTACTGTAACTTCACATCATAATGAATCAATTGAAGGTATGCCTAGACATTGGTCAAGAAATTTTAAATTTGAACGGGTCGCTCACTTTCGTTCATTTCAAAGGCGAAAAATGAATTTCAAAGTATGGATTGACGTGCCGGCGTTTCTCCATTACTTTTCAGCTTCTCCATACCCGGAATTCGTGGTATATTTCAGCGTCCTGTTGTCATTAATAACCAGATTTAGAGAAATTAAAAATCTGTAAATATTGTCATGCGAATCCATCGTTGCTTTCCAAGCATGCGATGCTGAAAGGTAAGGGTGTTTCATTTTATTGGCTTCCAGTAAGTGCACAACGAATGCAAACCGTGGCCGCACCAAGTAGCTCTCCACTAGGATTTGTACCTCCACCGCAGGAGAAGCAATCTGACTACAAAACGATTCTTATCTTGTGACTCACTGACCTTTAGGCGATATTTGCGCTGACGCAGCAGTCTGCACCGGTTTTACTGACTAATCTTCGCCTGAGCCTTTTTTGACGACAGATTGATCACAGTATATCTTGGATGCAAACCCTCGTAACTACGGTCGATGTCATGTCCCCCCC